TTTTCAGTGAAAATATCATTTACAGAAATTCGATTTAAAAAAGCAAAATGAATCAAAACTTTGTCGAAATAATCTTTTTCTATTTTCATGCCCTAAGGCGAGCTCCGACACTCTGCGCCTCTGTCGCCAAAAAACTATACTTTGCACACTTTCAACATATATACATGTACACTGTACATAATACAAAAGTTTCACATTTGTTTCTTAAAGAGTTCTACAAAATTTTCTCCGCCAAAAGGGTCATTAAATAACTAAACAATAATAATATCAGGTACTTGGCAAAAATTCAGAACTTAAATTATTGCAAAGAAATTTCTTCAATATCAGAAAATCAAGTAACGTTCTTTCAGTGACAAACATTTACTTGGGGATGTGATATATGAGAAAATGCATGAAAAAAAAAAATCTGGGGAAAAGAAACAATTACATGTATTTTGCTTTCAGGCCTCCGTTGAGTTATAACACACACAAAAAAAATCCTATGCAGCGAGAATTGTATTGGGAAAGACATATTTTCCAGACATAAAATGTTTGGAACTAGAGAACCAGAAAATTATTTTTCATAGTGGATATATTCTGTATCCATGTACTTTATTTAAAAGACAATATCTTCTTAAATATTGCAATTATTGCAAAAAATGACCTTTCCTAAACTTAACCGGAATGAAGGAAGGATGAGCATGCATTGTCGAGAAGGTTTTCTCTGAGGGTTATCTTTTTTTTAACGAGTGGAAATTACACTATGCAGTCACTTCTCTGTTGAAGATCTACTTTATCTAGTTCTTTCGGAACTTTTTTTTTTGCATTTTTTCGGGATGGGTAGTTGCTGCAATGAAAAGTTTCTATAAAACACCAGTGTCTTATCTCTATACTAAACCTCAACCACAAATTCTAAGTATTCTCAATATTCTCAATAAGAGAAAAAAGTTTTTTTCATTGGTCATAACATATACTTTAGTAGTTCCTCTTTTTTGAATTTTCTTCCCTAAAAAAGGACATGTCCATTCCTTTAAACAATATATTACTTAGTGGAAATTATTGATAAAATTAGCTCAATGGCTCTAGTGGGGTTGAAATGGTAAAAATAGAACGGACGATAGACCTAACGGAACTCAAACGGACGCAGCTAATTTTAGAAGTTCAGATGAGCTAAACATCTTTTTCAAAAAAAAAAAAAAAAAAAAAAAAAAAAAAAAACTCTAACTAAAAACGTGCAGGACAACAGTTAGTCAAATTGATATAAAAAGCTAGAGAGACTGGCGCATATGTTTCATATTTTGATAGTTCATTAGATGTAGATATCGATGGCATAGTAATATCTAAAATCTTTATCATAGACAAGATTCCTTCTAACTTTTTATCGACCATATTTTTTTATCTCCCATTTCATAAGATACTCAATGCATGTTCTGTGTTTAACCACTTTCTTACTATAGGCAGACTACTGATAAATAAGCAGGTGTTAAGGAGTATCAGCAATCTTGTCAATCTTTAACAATTTAATTTAGCTCGCGTGGTTGTAAACGTTTTTAAAATTGGCCGAAAATATACCATGAAAATAAGATATATGAATCCCCTATTTTTGTTATACATTTTTTGAAAATTTAATAAAATTTGTCTGCATCTTTTTTTGTCATTAAATCCTAAACATGCAATTGTCGTAACATATTTTCGACCTTTTTTCTATTGAATTCTAGAAGGGAAAAGTCATTTTTGACTTGTTTTCATGCAAGATTTCGTTTCAAAAAAAGTCAATAACTTCTAAATGGTGCAGACGAAATTGTTACCCCTTTGGTAACCTAGAACAGAGATGATTTCAAATAAATCTATTTGAAAAAAATTAATATGTCTTTTGGGTTAGTTTTCTCGTAATTTAAATACGATAATTACTTTTACATCGCAAAATGTAACATTTTTTTTTTAGAATGACGCTGTGAATATAAGACAGACTCACGCTGCAACAATCTCACTTTAGCCTTAAGTTCCTTGACATTTCCTTGACATTTAAAAGTTTAATACATGTAGTGACATCAATGTCTCTATAAATATCTGCACACAAATGTCACCTGTGTCTATTATTAGATTACTACGCGGGTATGTTAAGGCTACACCCAGAGATATCCTACTTGCCTTTACATTATGACGTCATAGTAAGCTGTATGACGTGAACTTTAGAAATAATGATTTCTTAATATCTATATTTAAAGTTTAATTTCAGGTCAAAGAAATGAATGGAATCATTCAATACATAATATAAACTAAATCTTGTCGTTTTGGGGTGGTAAAAATATCTAAGTATTTAGTACGGGGGTTAAATACCAAACCCATGACGTCATAACTATTGATCAAATATTTGCCGAGTGAAATTAAACGTGACGAGAATTCATGTAAACAAATAGATGAAATGGGAATTTTAAAGCATATACCGTGAATGTTATGTGTGATTCATAAGGAATTAAAGATTAAGAATCAGGTACGCTGATATATTCTTATCATGTTTTCTGATAAAGAACACAGGCAGTGCTTTGAAATCCTGATCAGTCTTTCCGCTGTCGTTCTATTACAACAAAGATACAAAAGTTCAACACTATGCCACATACTTTGAAACAAAATTTTTGTTTGTATCGAAAGCTTGTATTCTATAGTACTTGGAAAGTGCTGCTAGAATCGTGTGGTTAACATAAATTGATGACAATTCCTTGATCGTATGAATAAAATGTGAAAATTTTGAGAAGGTTTCATGTGAAACTTTGGAATATTTTTTTCTGTGTCGGGAGAGTAGGATTCTAGCAGCACTTTTCATGGCTCAGTGATGTTTTTACATAATTATTTTCACTAAAAGAAATGAATTAGAACCGGGGTAGTGTTGAACTTTTCACTTTTTCATTAAGGCAATTTTTCTATTTATAGACGTCACGTGATGACGTCGTAGTGGAGTGCTTCTTCTAGCCTAAGACTCAATGACGTCTATACAAGGGATAATAATAGTAAATGTTTTATCTATGACTTTTCCGATTTATCAATGTTAGATTTTACGAAAAAAGTCTAAATTCGCCGAAATATGATCTGTGTACTGCCTTAACATACCTGCGTAGTATTACGTAAGCTGTTATGCACAATATTGCTTGGTCTTGATAATCTCTGAACCCAATACAGAGAGCTTGAAATGTTTTCATGTCTACTTTTATTTAGACAGGAGTTTGACATAGAATGCTTTTGTACCTCTACTCAGATCGCAGGTTCTAGATAGAATTTACTTATGTTTGCTTTTGAAAAGACACAGATATTTTTATGACGGTAGCTGAGTCCGAGAAATGAATACTTTCAAACTTGAGGATACTTTCAGGCTCAAACATGCTTTGTTCTCATTTTTGTATTATAGTATTGGATTTTGAGCTTTATCGTCCCTGAACTCTTTACATGTGATATTCAACAGCTGTCTATCTTTTCTTTAAAAAAAAAAGAACATAGTTTTTCAAGAGTTCCATATAATTCTTTAAGGGACGATTTGTATATCAGAGTTTTCCATAAAAAGAATGGAATATACTAAAGGGTGTTGAGAAAGTTCGTTCAATAATGAAATATTTTTGAAAAATCCAAAGTATTGTTTAACTGAAGGGATTAATTTTCCTGTTTGACAAAATCACAAGATTGTGCTTTCGGTTTATAGCAATTAATTTTAAGCAAGAATTTATAGGATTTTTTTTCCGTATGAAAATATATAAACATCTTTAAGACACCCAAATCACAGAACTGCTGGTCATTTTTTGTGAAAATGTAGGATTGTTTGCTTTTTTTTCACAGCCTAGTGAGACTAGGTAAAAGAAAGAGCAGCCACTTTCCAAAAGAATAGTTTTGTCATGTTGGAATTCTATATTGACTTAATAAATTTTGCATAGGTATTTGAAAAGATATATTGATCTGTATGCTTACGATATTACACAAATATGCTGCACCCCTGATTTTTCTGCACAGATATCATCTCTTTCAATACCTTCAATACCTGGCTTACCCATTTCTTTTCAACAAAACACAGCTAAAACCTTATCAGTAGCAAGAATGGACTCTGTGAACATGAAATATCACAAATTTAAAAAAATCTTCTCATTGTATTTCTTTTCCAGGATGAAAGAAAATGTGGAATGAACTTTCTTAGCACCCTTTACTTTCTGCATTCTAAAAAAAAATCATGATTTGTTGATAACCTATGAATATAAATTCCTTTTACACAGAGAGTAACATCAATTAGGTACATATATATAGGTTTAATCTTTTGCATGTAATGCTGTGGTGAAACAAAAGTAATAACATTGATTCCCTGACTAATATTTCATTAAAACATTAAAATGATTTCTGTTCTTTTAAGTTTCTGCGAAATTGAAAGAAATAATGATAAATATTGACATTGATGAGAAAAAAACATAACGCATACATGTATGTGTTAAAAAGTTACAAATCAGTTCCCTATTTAACCTTTTTTTAGCTGTTTCCTTGGTTAACACAAAGAATGCATTTAGAACTTTGGAAATTCATCTCTTCTGGTTCAAAAAGACCAGCATCTTTTAAGTTTCTTGTGCTTCGCATTTCCAATATTTTCTAGATACTGGACAAAACGAATCCGGAATAACACAAAGACAACTGATATACAAACCAACAATGACAAGACATTGATTTTTCTCAATTACATTAACATTAGACATCGTACATTAGATTTCTAGTGCACAAGTATGGAAACAACGAAATTCAATGTGCATAAAGATTTCATTCTTTCGTTCATTAAAATCAACTTTTACATATATACAAACCCCAGAAGAAATTCTGTAAGCCAGGCTGTGGTGTGGTCGAAAGATAACTAGTAGAGTGAATATTTTTTTAGTTAAACTTACGTCCGTGACAAAGCATCTTTTTTAATGACGCTACTCATCTTTTCACAATCTCAGCATATTTATAAATAGGGAAATATATCAAAATTGGAAATTTTGACCTCTATACTTTTCTACCGCATAGTTTAATTGCTTCTACCTTGAAATGTGTATCAGTAAAAAAGTAAACAAATGGATTCAAAATCCCATTAATGACTACAATATCTGGCAGGTATTCTTCAAAGATGTCTTCCATTTTAGAAAATTGTTGTCGTGGATAGAAATATCTTTTGGTGGCTTGGATAGTCTGAAACAATGTGATTGTAACGAAGCTGGCTACCAAGAAAACAGTTACAAAAGCAAATGTTATCGCTATTCGTCTATTCTTTTCTTCCTCTGAATCTGTAGCCCGTCTCTTTGACTCTGGTTGATTCGCTTTCTCTTTTTGAACACTCTTTCCATCCAGTGTTCTGATGCCGCATTCTTCTTGTTCTTCTCCGGTACTGAGTTCTTTAGCCTTGCTTTTCATCTGCCTTTTTGTTATGGCTTTCTTAACAAGAGCATTTCGTATTTTAACTTGAAATATAACTACAAGTATAATACAAGTGAACGCAGCCACGAATACGAAAGCATAATATAGGAATGTTAAAACATTTCCATCATATTCGTTTTTTACATTGCACCGAGTAGCATTAATGTTTTCTACTTGTACATATCTTTTTCCATGAATCAAATAGACTGGGAATTGTATGAAAAAACCAATACAAATAACACTTAAACACATCACCTTAGATTGTTTCGTTGTAATTTGTGATTTGAAAGGTGTGCAAATTTTTCTGTATCTTTCGAAACTGATAAAAAAAGCAATCAGAAGAGAAGCCATCCCTACAGAGTTACCAAGATAGTGAGACACCTTACATATCAAATCGCTCCCCCAGGCCACTTGATTGTAAACCGATATCATTCTGCTCATTTCTTTTGGAATGTGAGAAATACATAGAGAGAGATCGACTACAGAAAGAAAAAGGACGAAGATCCTGTAATTTGAGGCTTGAGCAGTACGTGTTCGAAAGATATGTATAATTACACCATTGCCAACTATTCCTATGATGTTGAGAATGTAAGATATAGCTCCCAGTGGGGCTCTTTCTATTCTCCCTTCTACATTGTAATCCAGTGGTGGCTCATTTACCATTCTGAACAATAATTTCGAGAAATGGAGATATCTGGAAAAATAAAAAAAAAATACTTGGAATGATGAATTGCAAATGATTAAAAGCATACCTTAAAATATTATATAAATATTAGTTTAGCATTGTTTCTGATATGTTTATATTGGCAATTTTATCTGGAATAGGAAGTTCTGCAGTTTTAACATATTTAAAGTTATCTACAAACTTTTTTGCATATCTTCAACAACTATCTGACATATTCTCCAATACTATCTTATATTTACCCTAAAACCTCATACAAAATGACGGTGTAAGTACTGATAAATTCATAAGTTTATCCTGAGTATTCAAATATTATTATAATTGTTACCCCTGATTGTTGAAGATGAATGGAATAAAATTCTACTTCGAAAAATGAACAGTTATTTTCTTATTTTTTGGCCACATTCCTCTGTTTGTCATGCAACAAATCTATTGAAAGTTTTACCCAGTGTCTTTTAAACGAGTACACGCATCTCAAGGGCGATACATAATGGGTATTCCATGAGGAGGTGATGCATAGATCCGCCTGCTTTTCATATGGATATAGAAAAATTATTTATATGATATCTCCAATTTTGTTAAGGATAATCACCATGAGGATTCCAACAGATTCTTTGAAGGCTTTATCTTCAAAGACTAAATTGATATTGTCAATATGGAACTCAAGCATCTTTTAATATTAAGTTCAAAGTACTTGTGCGAAGGAGCAGAATGATTCTTAAGAAAGTCATTTTGAAAATGACCATCGATATGATGTGCAAATTTCCGAATTTCACTTTTTATTGAAGAAGCAATTGTTTACGGCGTCATAAAGCTAATTATCTCTAGGAATGGTTTTATAAACTGTGTGATATCATACATTTTGATGTTTGTGATTTTGGATTCAAATAAATTGAAAAATTCTCTAAGTTGTTTTCTTAGAGTTGTTCGAATGTCTGTTTGTTTGTTTGTTTGTATGCTGTTTAACGTCCCTCTCGAGATTTTTTCACTCATATGGAGACGCCACCACTTGCCGGTGGAGAGCTGCAAATTTTGTCCTATACTCGGCACTTACGGCCATTGAGCAGTGAGGGATCTTTTTCGTGCCAGCACCTACTGCGACACGGGACCTCGGTTTATACGGTCTCATCCGAAGGACCGGTCTCCACGTCCCACAGTGGGATTTTTTCGAATGTAAAATGCTGTCTGTTTTTAACATTATTTTTACGAGGCTTTGGATCGATTACAGATCCAGATTACAGCAAAAAATCTTCTAATGCAATGAAAAGTATTCATTTCTTAGAAAGTTATTATAATGATTTTTCAATAAATGAAATTATACATGTATGGAAAAAAGTGCTTTAGAAATACGTAAGAATTGAGAAATGACACAAGGAATTTCTGGCGTCACGATGAAAAAGTATAAATTCATGTACGGACACAATAAAAAAAAATCAGTTCTATTCAAATGAATGTGCTACTCATATAAAAATACGACGTTTCTATTATCACTGTCAAATTGAGTGTAGTCAAATATGATTGGTGGCTTCGTTTCAGCCCTTGCAATAGTTTTGAAAGTATTCCTGTAATAGTGTTTTGGTTAAATAACAGGAAGTAGTATTTCACACAACACATTACATTTTTCTTTATAATAAAAAAATGTCTTTTTTTTCAGATAACAATATTGAGAACCACATTCTTGGGAAATGATATTACATGTATATATTCCAAATTTTCCCACGTTCCTCTTTCTTTGTAAAGTTGCCCTAAACATCGATTAAATGTGGACCGTATAATAAATTAGCTCCAAAACTAATCCAACAATTCAAGCTATATTTTGAACTAGAATATATGAAACATACTCTGAAAATTTGTAAATATTTGTCTAGGTTTCAGTACATTTATGAATACCTACCACTCGCCTTAAAAGCTTGTTAAATGGTAGGGATAGAAAATAATAGAAAAAAAGTCTTCTTTTTTATTTCACATAAAAAAAATTATTGAATTCATGTGGATTTTGTTCAACAATTCAGTACAGATAAATAATTACACTTATTCAGGTCCGCCTTTACGCCTTAATTAAACTCCTATGCTGGGCCAATTTTAAGAGACTTACCTTATATTCCTTGTTCTCTGATGAAATGCGAGAGACCCCTCTTCAGTGTATATATTCTTTGTAGAACTGGGAATGAATTCGGCACCTTTTTGTGATTATGATTAGGGAAGGTTGAATATTGATTCGAAAGTTCTTGCTAATGAGGAAATAAGGATAACAAATCAAATATATCTAGCTACTTTCGTAAAGGCCTAATATTCAAATCAAAGATTTCCCTTCATATGCTTTGCCATGAAGGATAATTAAAACTAAGCTCGTTATTCTGGACAAAACCTGTCAATTAATCTGCTTTGGCCTAATAGGGATAATGAACTCTATACAATACGTTTCTAGACGTTAGTATCATGTAACAATTGGTCTTGTTATCGTCATATATGACGAGTTTCATGATTAATGAATTATACGTTTGTTTGCTTCTTTATGCAACATGTTTTGTGGAAAAATATAATGTTCATATTAATGAGAAATAACATTTATAACAACGAAGCGGTGTATCCTATAGCAATGTCATTCATCTGTGTTTTATTTATTTATTGCTCAGTATCATAATATTTTTAACAAGATAACTTAATGAGCGTTTTGAATAATTGTACATACCACTTTTACAAACAGACTCTTACTAGCAATTACATACGGAATCATTCTTTATATAAAGATAACAGAAATTGGTTGGATTTTTTTTCCCTTCACTTCTTTATTTTTTTTTTCAATGCCTTAATATGTGTTACATTTCGGCTCTACTTTGACCAAAAAAATATGATTTGTAGTGACGAGTACTATTTTGAGATTAACCATCCGCTTATCAATTAAGAAATGGTATCTTTTTTACACGTACCATGAGAAAAGTTTAATTTCTTATTGTACAAAATGCTGTATGTGTTTTTCCTCAAAGAGAAAAGATGATATTTATCTACTCTGGGATATCACATTAAACATATGATCCAATATGGGAAATATATGTCCATTGTTATTATTTTTTAATTATGTCGTTTTAATTTTATTTAATTACAGTATCTTGGTAAATGTGGAATAGTTTCTCATGTTACTTTTTTATTTCTTATTCTTAACATGCATTTAGATGTTTGGTTTGTTTGTATTTTCTTTTTTTTTTATTGGAGAGGATATGTTGGTCTATTACTTTTCACAAATGCATGCATTCAACAATTGACTAACTTTTGACAAATATATTTTTATTTTTACTGAAATACAAACTATAAAAGACATGATAGCACTCAAATTAATGGCAAATTATTTACAATACTGTGTACAGGGTTATTTTCGCCCCGTGGTATTTTCGCCCTTTCGCACTTGCAAACAATTTTTGCCCCGTTTTAAATTCGCCCAGTCACCGTTCTGTTTAAGAAATTATACTGTGAACTTTGAATTCGCCCAACTGTGATTAAGGCAAAAGGGACGAAAATAAAATGAAGGCAAAAATTTCCCGGAATACAGTATAATCGTCAAGTCGAATGTTGACTGACGTTTTCCATTCAAATTGTTAACATTATTTTTACACTGAATTTATGGATTTTCCGTTTGCCCAATCATACCAATGAGCAACAGGGGATGCTTACTCCTCCATGGCACCTGATTCCACCTCTGATGATTTTTAAAGGTTCGTGTTTGCTCTTTTCCGTTGTAATGTTCCGGTGGACATTTGAGCTTGATTACTGGTCGTTATCTTCAGATAAAATATTATTATGTACCTTTCAAGTTTTCAGCACATAATAAAAATCGCACAATAGATACGTCACAGTGCTTATTGCATAAAACTGTTACAGCTGTATCTTAATCTTTCTTTTTCATCCATTTTATTAATTTTAAATGTTTTTGCCAACTAACAACTAAACTACTCAGTATTGACGAACGGGATGACTTCCGAATCGACCACTTCTTACGTGTATTTATGTAGTAAAATTCTACAATCACCTGCTTATGATGTGTAAGTCTCATTTGGTACGCCAGAGCATTCTCTGTATACTATTTTATACATGTACAGGCAGGATACTGACAAATAAGATGATGTATCAGGGCTTTCAACAGCTCAATCAATGTCAGTCTTTCGAAAATTCCTGGGTCATTTTAATGACCTTGTAGGCAAATACATTTATTTTCCCATTTTTTAAATTTTGCAAGGTTATACACTTTGTGATATTTCAGAATCTTAATAACTTTAACAAATTTACAAAAATCCATGAAGGTCATAACTTTTATAAATAC